TTTAATTAATATTCACGATTATTTTCACCAAAACCCAGTAGAAACTTTAAATTTATCTCCTACTTTTGATCTCTTTTAAGATACTTCTTGTACTTTTTGTTATACTCCCACTTCTATTGATTCTTGCTCAAACCAATTTATTTTCTTTTGGAATTGGCTTTCTTTAAATTCTTCTGCATTTTCCTTTTCTCATATAATTATTGAAACTTTTAATTTATTATTAACTTCTAATCGACAAACTGTTCGAACTATTTACTTTGATCAAATATTTGAAAGTATTAGATTTAATTTCTTTGAAAATAGAGATATACTTATTGATTTAACTCTAAATTGTCTAAATTATACTCAGGACTTTACTATATACCAAGAAATCTTAAATTGTTTCTCTGACAAAAATATTGACCCTGACCCACTTGGATCACATTTCTGACCTTAAATTTCTGACTCTAAAAAAAATTATAAATTAGCCAATCAGAATAAAGAATAAATATAGTATATTTATATCGAACTTGAACCAATATCTCCTGTCTCAAAATCTATAAATTAGCTAATAGAAACATGAATTATTGTAGTATCTGTATTCCTTGCATATTGAAAATATTAAATTTTTTAAGAATAAATAAAACTTGTATAAAAGAACTATACGTATAAATCTTGAACAAATTATAACTGAATTTATCATATCCTTTAATTATACTTTACAAATAAAAAAATATTAAACCAAGAATATGCATTTATTTTGAGACTAGCTTTTAATAACTTAATGAATGTCATATGAAAAATCGCTAAAAAGATATCAATGTAAACCTAAAATAGAATTGGATTAAATATGTTTATTAATATCGAAAATTGAGAACTAAAACAACTGAATACTCAAATTACTACAATTATCAAGACTGAAAAGGATTAGATTTGATTCTTACTATATGCCCTTTTATTCATCTATATATTTAATATGTAAATTAAATATTACTAAAAAAAATGGTAATACAATTTCAAGCAGTTAATAATGATAATAGTGTAATAGTTTTAACACAAAGAATAGTAAGTAATAAGGGATGCTTAAGTTAATAATATCTATTAAAAACTATCATTGACATTATGGTTACATAGTATCATTAAAAATAAATTAATAATATATATGTAATAATTACATAATTATAATGTAAAGATAAAAATCATGTAATCTCTTGCGATTAATATATTTCAAGAAAATAATACTTTTATAGTATTATTTCTTATCTATATTATGTTGTCTCAGCTTTTTTTAAAAGAAGGTGACAATGTTTTTGTGCCTTTTGGATGTGTTGTTGAAAAATATCTTAATGAATTTGATTATTTAAAAAAGACACATTTGAAAAAGCAAAGTCATAAAAATGTTAGCTGAGCTGTAAAAGAAGAGTTAATAACAGTATGAAGAGTTGAAGAAGCAATAGATTATATTGGATGGATGACTAAAGATGGATATTCCAAATCAACAAACTGCTTAGACAATATTCTTGAATTAACTACCAAAGGTAGTGAACATATTGTTAATATCTGAAATAGAAAAGCACGTAATATTTGTGTATGGTATTGGACTCTTTTTTGTTCAAGTGATAATAATTGTCAAAGAGAATGTGGTGGGTTAGGAGAATGTAAAGAAGATTGCTTAAATTTTCAACTTAAAAACAATATTTTTAATGAATTTGATATGCATAAATATTCAGTTCATGTAATTACAAAAGTTATATTATCACGAATTGAAACTGAATTTTCAATGCAAGTTATTCTCTTGAGTTCTCATATATTTAGTATTCTAATTCCACATGTGTTAACTATAAATCGAATTAATTTAGGGCATACCTAATGACACAGCACCTTATCAGTCTTATCTACACAGCAGGTCATGTAAAACTATAGTCAGGTTGAGCTACATTAACACAATTAATAATTGTATAATATGTTAAACAAACTTCTACTTATATATCAGATATTAAATAAATATTTATATATATTACTATTAAATAAAACTTTTATTAATAATTTAATAACTCAAAATACCTTTTAAATTTACTTTACAATTAAATCTTGATATAAGAAAGTAGTCAAAAACATATTATAAAACTTCTTATATCAAGAGTTTATTAATAACTTTCTTATATCGAATAAATTTAATATAGACTAGTTTTGGCTAAACTTTCTTATATTGAGAATTTAATAAGTATTTTCATATTACGTATATGCTAATTTGTTTATTGATCTAAATAGTAGTAATCAGTTCTGGTCAAATTTGTAGATAATTTTACCAGATTATGATATTAAAAACTCTGAACTTGGCCAAATAATCTGCATATTTAACCAGAGTTATAAGTAATAGTTCTACTATTTAGATCATTAAACAAATTAGTGCAGACGAAGAGTTACTTATATTGAAAGTAACTTGTATAATAAAATAATTTTAATTTAATTATATAAATAAAAGTTATTTGAACCTAAGCAAATCGCAAATTATTTATTTGTAGTAAATAAAAAAAATTATGTAAAAAGTTTTGACTAATGATCTTCAAGACTATATCGACAACATATTGGTATATGCTAAATATTAATCATTGGCCAATTTACTTTTTCATAAGTTTTTAAGCTTACATATATAATATGATTACTATTTATAAAATGTAAGATAATAGGAGTTTTTCTATGTATTGGTGGTACTTCTAATAGAAAGAACAACATACTTTGCCTATTTGTTTCATTAAATATTGCGATAGGTAAAGTAAATGTGTCAGCAGCTAATTGAGCACAATTTGGTGACAAAAATCAAAGAGAAACTGGACAAGGTGATAATTTGTTTGCATTCTAATATTTGTTGAAGCAAATTTATATTGTAACCTAGCCAGTCTTGATAGATTTCTATACGCTTTTTTAATTGATTACTTATAGCTAACTTAACAAGAGCCCACTTCTCTTCATTAACTATAATAGCAACTGCAAATGCTCGAAATCCACAGTTACTATCACTTTTAGGATTATAAATTTGATCAATATCCTTAGCAGGAATTAGAGAACTTAAAAGAATTTTTAATTTATCATCTATAAAAAAATCATTTTTTTCAGTAGCTTACATAATTTGCTTATTAAATAAATTTATTATTTAGAAAAGATAATAGTTTATACTAAATTAATTATAAAAACTATTATTTTTAGTAAATAATAATTTATTTAACAAGCAAATTGTAATCTACTAAATAAATATATTATTAATTATAAATTACTGCTTTTAACTTAATAAATTTTCGAAGAATTTAAAATAAACTTAAGAAATTAGATTTTTTTAGAATTTAATTTCTTAAATTAATTATAAATTCTTAACAAATAAACTTCTTATTAGGTAATGCTACTTAATAACTAATAATAATTAAATATTTTTTAATATAGTAATTATAAATTATCTGCATTACTTCTTGTAAAATTTTGAAATATTGATATATTTTTTAGTATCTTGTTTTTTTTCAATACTTTTAGTTTCTTTTTTTTTTTTTTTTCTGTTTTCTCCATTAGCTTTAATGCAATTAGTAATCATTTTGTTTCTGAAGGTCAACCTTTTGTTTTAATTTTATCTAGAAGCTTAATTTCAGAAAGTTTTGTTTCTGAAACTGCAAAAATCATATCAAGTTTGTTTAAAAGAGAAGTTTTTTGTTGCTCATCTGAAAAACTCATATATTGAGCTTCAATTTCATATAATCATGATTTGATTAAAAAAAATCATCTGAATTAGTTAAATTTTGTATTGCGCTATTAGAATATATCATATCTTGATTAGGAAATAGTAACTATCTATTTGAAACTACAGATAATTCAACAGAACCTTTTTCAGAAAGTATATATCGACATGGCAAATTATAATTAACATGTAATTCATATATACAAGCTTCATATTTAGTTGCTTTTAAAAGTTCTTTTTTGATTTTGTTAAGAGCAAATTGGGATATTTTTCTTAAAAGTAATACTAATCTTTTCTTGTCATCTTGTGCTAATAAAGGATCTATGCATATACTTTCTTTTTTAATTTCCAATAAATTTTCTTCATGATGTAAATGTAATCATCTATCTATAAACTTAAAAGATCTTATTAAGCTTCCAGATGTTTCAATAACATGTTTCATAGCAGAATGTGTGCCTTCAACATATTGAGTAGTTGTTGCACCAAAATGCATAATTCGACTTGTATAAGCTCCAACCTATTTTTCTTTAATATTTATCATTCTGTAAATAAATTTTAATAATACAATTATAAAATTTTATAAATTTTATAAATTTCGAATATATGTAAAAATAATAATATATAAATTTATAAAATTTATAAACCTCTACAATTGTCTAATTTAAAATTAGCAATAAACTTATTATATATACCTATTAAAATATTTGAGTACTTCTTAGGAATTTAAGCTTAATGATACTAATTTCTGATAATCAACTATTGCTGTATTTAGTATCTCATAATCTTTTGAATGAATAACACAATCTACTATTTTGATAATTTCATCAAATGAATCATCTTTAAAATACTTCTTCAAATTTTTTTTAAAGTTGTTTAAGACATGCCAAGTACATAAAAGATGACTAGATTCAGGAAATTTTTTCTTAAGAGCACCAATAAGTGCAGAATTATTGTCAGTAACAAATACAGAAGAAATTATATCGAAAAAGATTAAAGACAAAAGCTGTTCAGCAATCCACATATATGATTTCTTAGACTCATCAGAAATCCAAGTACCAGCAATACTAAAAGTACGTAATTCATTAATTCCAAGATTACTAATGCCAATAATATTTACAAATAGTAATTTGTAAATATTAGTCTTGTAGGTTGCATCAATTAAAATAACTTTAAAAAACCGTTTAGCATTCTTAATAGATTCAATATGACAGAAAAATAAATGTCTAATATGCCCATCTTTATTAAATAAAAAATATTATAAATATTTTCAAAAAATATATAAGTAAACTTAAATTAAGATAATTAAAATACTTTCCTTCAAAATCTTCATGACGAACAGTATACACTCTTTTTTCCATACCTATTACTAGTGCTTCTATTGAAGCATTCTCTTCAGAAGGATGAATTTGTGCTCTCAAATTATCAATATCTTTTCTTGTTGCTGTTGGTTCTCCATCCTTATTCCTGATAGCCTCATAAATTATACTAGACTTTGCTCCAGCTTCTAGCATTTTTACAGCCATTCGCCTTACTTCTTGTTTTAATTGATGGTACTCAGGATAAATTTGAACAGATTTGGCCATAAGATGGTTATATTCATCTGTAATATTAACAATATTCCACTTAGAAACCTCAAAAACAGCTTTTAAAAAATATGGACAGTCACAGTACTTACTCATTCTTTTTCTTTGTCATGTATCTACTGTCAAATTTGAAGTATTTCTAGGTTAGCCACCATATTTGTATTGAATATATAAGTAATATAGACTACTACTTCGAGTTGTTACTGCAAACCCAGACTGATAGGCAATTGCTTGAGCAGCATTAAGAACATCACACTTTGAAATATATTCCTGTCCAATACTCATGCTGAATAGGCTTAACTCTCAACTAAAAAAGAATTATTTAATAGAAATTTCAATTTCAATTTAAATATTTAAATGATCTTTATACTTATGCTAAATTAATCAGGCTAAAATAAAAATTCTTATAAATTAATACTTGAACTAAATTCTATAAACTTAAATATTTAAATAATCTTTATACTTACAACGAATTAACCTGAATAAAATAAATTAA